TATCACATGATTATCACACCTAGTATAATCCTAACATATTTCGTAACCGTTTTACTAGATAATGATAATAATGAGTGTTTAAAAGATAATGATCGTGTTTAAAAGATTTGATGATATCATTTCCATTATTACCCTTTTAATTTTAAATTTTTTTGAATCTTTTAAAATTTAAATTTAAATTTTAAAAATCTTTTAATTTTATTTTTTTATCACAATATGAGGTTATTGGATTGTTCTTGCTTTCTCGTAAATCACAGGGGTTCTCGTTTGAACCCTTCCCTATATATATATATATATATATATATATATATATATGTTCATAGTGCTAATCTCTTGGCCTACAGACATATTAGACGTTTAATATGCAACACTTGCTATAATCCCACAATATGATACCTCGTAGGTATTATTCTAGTTATTTTATTTATGTCCAATCATTCAATATGACGTGTTGGTGAATATAATCACTCAGAAAAAATGACGAATGACGGAAATATTCATCTCTACAAATATTTTTCAGTCTATTAGTTATAGGAAAATTAAAGGCTAGATATTAATAAGGTATAGACATACGTAAAAATAAATATGTTTAACAATTCCACTTTCTAAAAGATTTATTTTTTAATCCGAAAATCAATTTTAAACAAATTTATAAATTATTTACATAAACTTTGATTGAAATAAAAATTTAATTAAAAAATAACTAAAAAAATAAAGTTAGTTAGAAAGATTTGAATATAAGATTTCCCCAAACATGAAACACACCACAAACAATTGTGTTTCATCATCCACAAAATATCTGAACGAATGCAAGTCCACATTTTATAGCCCTTCTCTGATTGCCACGTGTCAAATATCACCTAGCAGAACATTGCATTTAGACCCCTAGATTCAGTCTATACTACAAATTTGACCCATTACATTTTGGGTTGTCTTAAGTGTCGTTTACTAAACGCTTACCGAGTAAAGCGCTTACCAAGTCACTTTATTTTACCGGATGAATATAACAATAACTAAAAATCTTACCCGGTAATAGTGAAAGCAAGAATCGAGAGTCTTACCCGGTAAGTGAGGACGATGACTCTTACCATGATAGCGCTTATCGGGATAAAGTGTTGCATACGATGTGTTTTAGTGAAAAAAATCTTACCCAATAAATAAGCAATAGTATTGAAATTTACCGGTAAGTGCTTATCGAGTAAGTGTTTAAGTAAACGGCCCCTTAGTTAGACCCCCCGGTAATTTTCATAAAAACTTGAATTGTTCATGGAGGTTGGAGTAGTTTGACTATTAATGGAATGTCTAAAATACCCCTAAGCATTTTGGCTTATATTGAGTCTATTCAGTTTCTAACACTGTAAATAGTAGATGTAAACATGGGTCAAAAAGTGTATCATTTACAACGGTAGATTGATCGATTTACCATACAAGTAACTTTAGTACCATTAGAATGTGCCATTAAACTCAAAATCATTTAGAACAGATACATGAACTTTATCTCATCAGAAGATTAAGGGGTTGTTTTACAGTTGTTGAGTGGTACTGCTCAATCAACATCAATTAATTTACCTAAAGAATGCTTTGACTGATGATGTTGACGGAGCACCTACTTAGTCAACATTATTATTCAACTTACCAGGTCGATACAAAGACGATGTAGGTGTTTTATCAACAAGACTTGGTTTATATTAAAGGGTTGAAGTGACGATAAACAAAAAGTATTAGGGCTTCAAATGCAATTATGGATATAGTGAAGGGGGTAAAAGTGTAACTATTCCCTAGAGCTACAGCTAGATAAAGTAACATGCACAAGGAACAAATTCCCATCCAATTAATTCTCAACCCCACAAATGCTTCGTAAATGTTAGCCATCGCCAACGACGACCAGAACCGGCTGCCGGAGCAGACCGAACCGGATCCGGCAACCCCAAGAGTTTTGTCAATCTTATCCGTTGTTCTGGAAAGACTAGTGAACCGGAACGAACTGTTGGGTTTAAGCGGAGGACGGCTGGGGAAGAACTTGGAGGCGTTCCACGGCGTCAGACCGCCGGCAATCAGTATCCCCAAATATCTAGACCGGATATATAAGTATACCAACTGTAGCCCGGCTTGTTTCGTGGTGGGGTATGTTTATATAGACCGGTTGGTTCACAAACACCCCGGTTCACTGGTGGTCTCATTAAATGTTCATAGACTGCTGGTTACAAGCATCATGTTAGCCGCAAAGATTTTGGATGACGTGTATGTCCCTGTTTCTTTATCCTTCTTAAAAAATTAGCAAAATTGGTTAAAATAATCATTTCTTTTATATAAATTGATCTTTTATTATTTTTTTGTCTGATTTATTCAAATATTACTACGTCCCACGTCCACAACTTGCAAACCTAACTAAAAGACAAAAAAAAAATTCAAATTGTAGACCTGGCCGTCGCAATTACAGACCTATTCGTCCCAATAAATTTACTTTTGTCTTTTAGTAGTGTCTGCAAGTGACAGACATGAGACTTGTGGACGTAGTGATATTTGGATAAATCAGATAGATGAACGACTAGAAGACCAATTTATAAGAGATAAATGATTATTTGGAACGGTTTCCTTAAAATTTATCATATTTTTTGATTAAGTATTTGAATTTTATTTTATAAATTACAAAATAGATAAAAGTCAATTACGTTTTATATTCACATTTCACATTACTACGTCTAATTTTAGTCGGGTTAAATGACAGAAATCATTTACAATGGTTGATGTTTTTGAAAAATTAAAATCCGTTTACGAAATTCTGTAACCTGTTTTTGGGTCTTTGGGGATTTTTCTCAAATGTCATCGCTTCAAGTCGTACAAGAAATAGAGATTTTCTTGCTGTTCTTCAAGGCCTGGGGCTAGTTGAGGTACTCGTAAACTGGTCCGAACACCCACGGTTAAAAGAAAAAAAACTTTAGCACGTTATAATGCAATAATGCATGTTAACCATTTGACTTTAATAAGAATGCAATTTTAATACGATAAAAGTAAAATTGAAACGGAAATTTCCACCATGACAGACATTATCTGTTTGTTTTGTTTTAATTTTTATCAAACCCGGGAATAAAAAAGGACAAAATAGTACGATATTTATGTAATTTTACTTGTTTATTGTGGATGCATAAAGTGTGTTATAAACTTTTCTTCTTGGAAAAATAGGCATTACAACAACGCATTTTATGCTCGAGTCGGGGGAGTGACGAATGCCGAGTTAAATAGGCTCGAAATGGAGTTCCTTTTCATGTTAGATTTCCAGCTCACGGTTACCTCTCGTGTTTTCGAGAGTTATTGTCTACATTTGGAGAGGGAAATGGTAATATGGAATATTACAATACCGAAGATTGAAGGGGGAATTCATACAAATACGATTGAAGACATTGCTGAAATTTCAGTGGAAGACATGGAAAGTTTCTCCTCACCTCTCTCCAACGGTGGACTTACATGAAAACCGAGATTTATATTTACATATTGTAAAATTACCATAATGTCCTTTTTCAATGATGAATGTGACAATTTAAACGATCACAATTGCATACATCCAATTTTGAGTTCTTGGGTTCTTTTATGATATACTTTTTTTTTGTTATGATGTGTAAAAAATGCGAAATTTACATTTATAAATCTCGAGTTTTGTTAATTGTTAATACCTGACATTATTGGACGAGTATCACAAAAAAACAGATGCAAATACAAAGGGACCTCATCGTATTTTTTGATTAAAACGATACCAACATATACTATCTCGATCAAACGAGGAAACAATTAATTCATGAGAAGTGCAACAAGGACTAAGTAAATCACATATGATTTACATACGTTCAGAAAGACGCGAGCGACTGGTTAGACACATCAATGCCACATGATAACTCGTTCATGCAATATATGGTCAACACAACCTTTTGTGACGTGTATAATTTACATGTGATTTTGTCATTCTTGTATTTCTTTTAAGTTGACCGTCTTTCTCATTTTAACCAGCCTCATCCTTATTAATAAAAATATCAAGAATAAATTTTAGGGTATGTAAAATTTAGGAACGATATCGGTTAAAAATGAAGTGTAGGGAGCAAAACAGAAATTTACTCTTCCCACCCATTCTACATACCAAACGCACCTTATGGAGCAGGATGAGTTTTAAAAATTAACAATTTCAGCCCCTCAACTCTAGGGATGGCAACGGGGCGGGGATGGGGCGGGGTTTGCAATCCCCGGCCCCGGCCCCGGTTTATACACACAGTCCCCGGCCCCGGCCCCGGTCAACTTTCGGTCAACCCCGGTCAACCCCCGGTCAATACCCGGTCAACACCCGGTCAAATAAAAATTAATAAGTTTTTTCTAAGCATGATCAACATAACAACATAATTACATGATATCTAGTCTTGCCTAATAAAAATAATAAAATTGTAAAATTAACAATAATCCAAAGAAATGTAAAATTTAAAACAAGTGTTAATATAATTACATCATATCTAGTCAAAAAGAGTAGAAGAGGATTGAAATTTGGACATATCAATTACAAAGCCCAAGTCCATAAGTCCAACAGGCCGCACATATCAATTATAAGCCCAAATAATCAAAATGTTAATATTTATATATATACCGGGTGCGGTGCGGGGCGGGTCGGGGGATACAATACCCGGCCCCGGCCCCGATTTGCCTCTACCGGGGATCCCCGGCTCCGGTACCCGTTTTAGCGGGGAATCCCCGTCCCCGTCCGGGTCGGATGAACCGGGTTCCCCATCGGATCGGGCCAAATCACCATCCCTACTCAACTCAGTTATTCAACCACCCATTTTGATACTCATAATAATTTTGTTTTCTATTTTTAGAAAGTGAAAAACCCTAGAAACACAAAACCCTATAAATATATAATCTTATAATCATAATTTTGTAGCGAAGCAAAATATCAAACAAACCCTAGAAACGCAAAACCCTCCCGTTCGTCTCTTTTTCCTCCGCGATGAAGAAGCTTTCCACCACTTCCGCCGCCGTTGATACCGCCGCCGCCGACCTGAAAACCTTAATCCATGACCACGCTCAGTTCTTCGACAAGCTAATCGAATTGATCCCTGCAAAGTTCTACCTTCCCACCGACGAAGATTCAAAACCCTGGTTCCAAGGCCTCAGTAAAGGTAAAAAGGCCTCTCTTAAACAACAAACACGAGAAAACATCAAGAAATCCCGCCGCGATCGCCTCGACCCCGAGAAAGCACAAACAACAACCCTAGATCTCCTAAAAAAGATTGTCGGTAAGAATGAGGATTCGGATGAAGAAGATGATGACGACGATGAAGAAGAGGAGGAGATTGAAATTAGAGTGAAGCCGGTTACCAATTTCGATGGGGAAACCGGTAAAAAGTCTGTAACTTATGAAGAGTTACAGCAACGGTTGCACTCTAAGCTTCAATTGCTTCGTGCAAATAGAGGCCAGGGGAAGAGATCGATGATGATGAATGAGAGGAAGGAAAGGGGTGATTTTACC